TTCTAAGAATATTTTGTCCTTTGATGATTTTTAAAAATCCGTTTTGTTAAGGAGATACAGGGCGAACAAAATTTTAGATAATAACATCATTTTATTACAAAAAAATACACGTAAATGTTACTTAATCTACAAGAACTGTTAAAAATAACTACATCCAGCAAGAATGCAAGCATCCAATCTTCTCCTCATTGACTGCCGAACCCTTTCAAAAACACCAGGGTCGTTACTTATTGAGTTAGGGGAAGAGGGGGTACAGTGTTACACGGGGTACAGTGTTAAACTTAATGCCGTGACGTCATTACTCGAATAACGCCGGTGCCATTCAAGTCAAAGCTAGTTTCAGTTACGTTCGATGCCCCGATGTGTTTGCATCAACTTCGGAAGTGTTTTGATTGTTTCATCGGTAAGTATTCATTTTTATAACCCTAATGTAAAATAAGGACAGTTACTAATTTTTGTTTCTACTCAAAACTGGTTCATATCAGAATTTATTTGGTTAGACATAATTTTAATGTAGGATGATATAGCTCTAATAAAGTGCCAAATTTAACCTAAAAATTGATGTTGATGTGAGACCAATTTCTTTGTGAAATCGATGTATGGGGCGCAGTGTTACAGCCAGCAGTGGGGCACAGTGTGACAGTGTAACACTGTACCCCATTATTTTAAAAAACATTTAAATTGCGAGAATGATGATGACTTGCTTGTTTCTAAAACATTTCTTTATTATCTATTATTTATTATTTTCAGAAAATTTTCAAAATGGTGCGAAACCGAAAGGAAGAAAAAAAAATTGCTATATTTGATGGAGAAACAATGAAGCGTGCAGTGCTGGAAGGTATTAATAATGGAAAATCGATCAGGTCAGTTGCTGCATCTGAAAATTTGGTACATATGACCTTAAAAAGATATGTGGACAAATATAAACAGTGTTCAGAAGAAAATAGGGAAAATTTCAGGTTTGAGCCAAATTATAAAGTGAATCAAATATTTCCCAAAGATTTAGAGGATGTTTTGAAGACTTACCTCATTAAAGCTTGCAAAATGTACCATGGATTAACAAGAAAAAATGTTATGGATCTAGCATACCAACTTGGAATAAGAAATAATTTGAAAATTCCAGATTCGTGGCAACGACGTCAACAAGCTGGAATAGATTGGTTATATGGTTACATGAAGCGTTATCCAGAACTATCACTTAGGAAACCTGAAGCCACAAGTCTTGGGCGAGCAACAAGTTTCAATCGAACTACTGTAAACGAATTTTTTAATAATTTATACAAAGCATACGATAAATTTCCAAACGGTCCATTTCCAGAAAATATATATAATTTGGATGAAACAGCCCTAACAACGGTACATAATCCTCCAAATATAATTGGACAAAGAGGCTTAAAACAGATTGGACAAGTAACATCTGGCGAAAGAGGTGTATTGGTGACTGCTTGTTGTTTCATTAATGCAACCGGAAATTCGGTTCCTCCATTTTTGGTGTTCCCACGCGTACATTTTAAAGATAGAATGTTAACAGGAGCCCCTCCGGGAACTGGGGGTTCGGCTGCAAAAACTGGATGGGTCAATGGAGAAGTTTTCGTGGATATTTTAAAACATTTCCAATGTTTTGTAAAAGCTGCTAAAGAGGCGCCCATATTTCTCATACTGGATAACCACGAGTCACACATAACCATTGATTCCTTAGAATTTTGTAAAAGCAACGGTATAATTCTTTTGACCCTACCACCTCACACTAGTGGAAAACTTCAGCCGCTTGATAAAACGGTATACAAGTCTTTGAAGACAAATTTCAATAAAGTTTGTAATGATTGGATGGTCATGAATCCTGGAAAGACCATAACAATTTATGAAGTTGCTGGTTTGCTGGGTAGAGCGTATCCATTAGCATTCACTCCCAATAATATTGTAAATGGATTCAGATGTACTAGAATTTGGCCAATAAATAGAGACATCTATACAGATGATGATTTTTTGGCATCAGCTGTTACAGATAGACCACAGCCATCTTTAGATCAGACTATTAATGTGGAAGCCGAAATCGAAAATTTAGGAAATCAAGGAGACGATGAATTGGAGCCACATTTACATTTTACTCCGCCACATTCTCCGATTCCATCTACTTCAAGACACTCCCAGTCCTCTGTTCTGGTACAGTCAAGTAAAAATTCTACTTCTCTTGTGATGCCCACAGACGTTCGACCTCATCCAAAAGCATCCGAAAGGAAAAACAAAAAAACCCGGAAACGCAAAAGCGAGATTCTCACTGAAACTCCAATCAAAGATCAAATCATTGCAGACATAAATAGTCGTAAAAACAAAGCTACCCGAAACGTATTCAAACCAAAAAAATCAAAATTACAGAAAAAAGTTCAACAAGATTCTTCAGTTCAGAAGATTCACATTTTTCATGTGCAGAAAGTGACGCAAGTGTTGGCTCATTTGTCAGCGATGATGTGGAACAGATAGATTTTCATCAGGAAATGGAATTAAATAAGGGAGATTATGTTCTCATAAAAGAAGGGATTACGAAGGCACACGAAGTTATGTCGGTAGGGCTAATAAAAAATAAAAGAGATACCGAAATTAATGTGGTATATATCCGTCGATTATATCCAACCTTCAAATTTGTTCGTACTCTTGAAGAATATTCTTTCGACTTGGTCAAGGTTCTAGCAAAATTGCCTGCTCCAAAACCATCTGGAGGAACAGCCAGGCGATCCGAGATGTTAACTTTCTCAGTAGACCTCGGTCAATATTATAATACTTTAAAATAACTTTAACTTATTTTCACTTATTATTTTTAGGTCGTAGTTAAAGTTGAGTAAATGTGTTTTTGATTTATGTTACATATTTTTTAAATAAAAATTTCATAAGAAACTGTTGTTTATTATAAAACATCATAGGTACTCCATTCTAATTTTCACTGTAACATTGTACCCCAGTATGTGTAACACTGTACCCCAGTGGTGGGGAACAGTGTTACTTGTGTATCCCGAATAAAAAATGTGTCACTCTAACCTTATCTTTAGAACTGGATCCGTGATTAATTCTCCGATGATAGTCAACATTTATACCAACCTATTGCTTAAGACAGAATTGGTCTACTATATCTGCTTGAAGCAATAATAATTAATACATTTTTTGTGTAACACTGTGCCCCCTCTTCCCCTACACCCAGCAATTATCCGAATTCGCAAGTCTTCCACATTTTCTACTGGAGTAGTATACACTAATGACTTTAAATGGCCCCATAGGAAATAATCCAAGGGGTTTAAGTCCATAAATGAGATCCTCCTCGACCAATCCAGCGATCTCCGTATCTTAGTGTCAGAAACTCACGAGCAACCAAACTGAAATGCGCTGGTGCACCATGATGCATAAACCACATTACATTTCTTATTGTTAATGGTACATCATCCAGAAAATCAGGTAGAGTTTGTTCTAAAAAGTTGCGATACACTTCACCGATAAGTCTTGCTGGTAGAAATACCCACAATTCCAATCCAAACATTCAAGGAGAACTGATGTTGAAAACGATCATCAATTACGTCATGTGGATTTTCGTCAGCCCATACATGGTTATTGTGAAAATTCCTTATTGCATTTCTTGAGAAATTCGCTTTATCGGTAAAAAGAATAAGCGTCAGTAGTTGAGAAATTTGAACTAATGTGTGCAAAAACCATTGGTCCCATTCAAGAATCCAAAGGCCGTACCACGACCCGAGATTAGCTGGAGCGTAAATTAAGGTGACATCTTTAAAATATACTTCTTTTTAATAACTTTAATAACACAATGTAGTCAATTGATGTTAAACACTACAAAAACGTCAAGGGAACACTGCAAATACACGAAAAATAATATATTGACACTTATGATAGAGAAAACGCACATTGAAAAAAGATGATTAACTTTAAATATCTGATAGAACATGAAAATAATAGCAATAACTTGTAATAGTTTTGGAGTTTAAAAAAAATAATCCACTTTAAAATATTTTCACAAACTATATAAATACACTTTCCACGAAAAAACGATACCTCGCACTTTGAAACGTAGTAGTCACCACATCTTAACCAAATTTATATGGGACCACCCCTGATGTACCCCCTTTCTAACAAAAAAAGAACCATTGACATCGGACATCGTGTTAAAGAATTATCGCTTAACATTTATAAAAAAAAAATATTACGATGAATTGAGAACCTCCTCCTTTTTTGAAGTCTGTTAAATATACACATTAAATACTTCTCCTCTTAAAGTTTAGTATTTATCCAAAGTGAGATTCTGTCATTTTATAGTGGCTTATTGTTTAAAATATACCTAATCCAAAGTGCAATTTTATCGTTTTATAGTGGTTAAGTTTAAAGTTCAGTATACCGATTGTATTATTTTATAGTAGGTAAGCTCAAGTTTGAATTTAGACAAACGCAAAGTTCGATTCTATCATTTTATAGTTTGTTATTACATAGTTGAGAGAATTGAGAGTGCAATTATATATACCCTTAAAGAAAGTAAGTATTCACACACACTAAATAGTGCGATATCTATCACTTTCCTAAGTGGTAGTAGGATAACAGTTTTCGAGATATTTCAAGACTCCTCCTTAAAAAAGTAATATTTTGACATAAACTAATTTTTTTAAATGTAAGTAATGATAACAGGTAAGTGGCAATTTTTTTCCACTATTTTTCACGCCAATGTAGCAATATTTTTTATTTTTTAATTATTTTTTTAAATTCTCTGTTCATTTTCAGTTAAAGAAGTAGGAAGCTTTGAGTTAAAATAAACGGTGTTATCTTCTAATTACTAACCATAATCAGTTTAACTGCAGATATGGAAACATCGAAGTGAATTTCAGAAATTATTCTCCGGTCCCTCATAAAAATAGTAGGCTGGCTGAATAAATTCTACTTTTAAAAGCAGATGCTCTCAAACTATAAAACTTAAAATTAACGGAAACGCTAAGAAATATAATATATTGTACCTGCACAATGAAGAAATATGAGTAGATGATGGTGAACAGTGGTACGAAGTAAACGAAAAATCCGTAAACATAAAGATAGGAGATACTGAGTGGGTCCCTGCTGAGGTAATCGGTTCCACAAGCAGTCATGTTGCCTTCTGGAACGTATCTGCAATAAAAAAAAAATAGTAAATTGTACAGAAATTCCAGTGACATTTACAGAATCATATCATTTATACGGCTGTTTAAATAAAAACTTTTTTGCTATACAGTGTAGACCAAATATCATATAAACTATAGAATATAGAAAACCGGTAAAATAGAAAAAAAAAATGTATACGAATATATTTGCAACTTAAATCCGTTTAGTACGTGATTCTACCTTTTTTATTTTTGAGATATTTAAAAAAAATATTTTCTAAATTATGCTGTAGATTTTTACCCTCATCTTGTATTTTACATAAACCAGCGCTCCTCCCTTTTGTGGCGGGCCCCAGGAATTTGTCCCGGCTACCCCCCTCCCTCGTCGGCCCTGTAGGAGACTGCAGTAACAAAGAGTATAGTAGTATAGCAGTAAGAAGTATTCACATAGTCTTCATTTACCTACTTTCAATAAATGCGAACTTATATCTTATTTATTGTTGGCATTTTCTTATTTTATAAGACATAATAATAATTATTATTATTATCTGACCTAATTGCTTTCATGGGATCACCAATAAAAAGATTGCGAAAGAAAAATCTTTTGAGACAACATTGCATAACTAAAGATACCTACATTAATAAAGGCTAATGATAGAATAATTTATCATATGACTAAACAAATTTCATTACTTTATTATATTATTGTTAGTATTTTTTTTTGTCTGTTAGTCATTGATAAATTTATTGTCCGAACGACAATGAGAAGGTCATCTCACATTGAAATGTAGTCAGCACTATTTTAAGTTGCATTTTTTAGGAGGGAAATTGTTTCTATTGGTTCAATAACCTTGTTCCTTTTTTTATGGAAATCGTGAGAAAAAATAGGATTATCTACGGGGATATTAAAAAGCTTCTGAATTAGTTTTACAGTGTAATATTTCCTAAAAATACCTAGTTTTATTATTCGATCATATCGTCGCCCTTATCACGAAGTGGCATAAGTAGTAAATAGTAAATTTTACAGGAAAGCAATAAAACAAAAATACGTAATTCTCAGATCGACATAATATAGAGAGATTTAAAGTTTGTGCCTTCAAAATTTTATCATGGAATGCTAAGGCCTTGTTTTATTGTTTGGTAATTCCAGATTGGCCAAACTCCCTTGGGATTTTAAAAAAAAAATTAAATAGTCAGTTATGCCATTTCGTGAAAAACAATTTTCTCACTTTATCAGATAGACCTTAAGGACAGAGTCTCCAAAGGATTTGCGGTCGACTTCTGTACTGCGGGACTGCCTAACCAGTAGCGCCTGTAGTCAAATATTTGGTAAAATAATCTACTCACCAAATTGAATTATCGATCCGTTGAATTTGTTATTTGCTACTCACGGAGTTCTTAGCGTAGAATCATTTCTATCCGAATACAGAAACAAGGAAGATCAATAATTTAGTACCAAAAAAAATATAGTTATATTATTTATTTTATTTAAATAGTAATTACAAAGCAATAAATAATTATATAATTATTATTTATTTTTTAAATTTTTTAAAAACGAGTTTTTTATTTGTATTTATTAATTCTATATACCTACATACTGATTGCTAGATCCATGTTTTCAAAAAAAGATAAATTTCATTTTTTAAAATACGGAGAAAATTAATAATCACCTATAATTAAATGACCGATTTTGCTTTAGCTGAAAACGAAATATTTAGATTTATAAAAATGATGTATATAAATTAATACCATTAATAAAGGAATGGGCAGAGCTTGGGACTTTGGATTCGGCGATTTGGGTTTAAATCTCAGATAAATAAATAAATAATAGATACAGCCCTATCATGCAATATTTGTAACCAGCATCTACTCTCACTATACAGCAGTGGTTACACGACTTGATTGGATGTTCGCTATTTTGGTTACACACCTGATTGGTTAGAAAAAAATTGACAGGACTAGGTTAGTTAGGTTAAGTTATTTTATGGTTATTTTGTGGTTCATTTTGAGTTTATTTCGTACTTTAATTGAAAATTTTTTGTGGTTTAAGTTATTTTAGTGCATTTAATTGCTTAAAAATGCCAGTGAATTGTATTGTGTGCTCGAGAAAGTATCTCAAGTTCAGTTCGATAACGTTTCATAGGTAAGTAAATAAAAACCATTACCGTTGCATCACACTTTTTTGAGGGGTATCATAATTCAAAATAAGGTTTAAACAACAACAATTTATTTTAAAGTTTAAAATAACATTCAACGTCGAATTTCGAATTATTTTATTGTGCCTGTGTTTAATAACTTTGAATTTATTAATAGGCTATCTTTAAATTAAAGTTATATTGTTATGCACACTGTACATTTAAGAAGGCTCTAGTGGCATTTACTTTAGTTATAAAATCTTAGTATTGCTTTATTTTAATGACAAAATATATTGTTAGAACACCAGTTATTTTAAAGTATACTATGTTGCATTCTGTATTACATGAAATCCTATATACCTACCTATATGAATAAGAAAACACTATTTATACTGTAACCTACCGCACCAAGGTACCTTAATAATTTATTAATTCCATTTATTAAATACAATGTTCCATTCTTTTAAATTCAAAATGCTTCATTTAACGAAAAAAATCTCCCAGATAATTAAATCTTATTTACGACACCTAATAAATAATATCTATAACCACGTCCGTAAAAGATGCACGTGGCTGAGTTCCTCGAGAAAGAAAACACCATAAAGTGTATTTCTGTTAACGAAGTAATTATCATTAAAACACTTAAGTCGCTTATTTTCCTAGTTTCGATGTTCAGACCGATATCGACAATATTTCGATACACAAAACTTTCAAGGCAAGTAATAAATAACCCACCCCCTTTTGCACCTACATTCGTATTTTCTATGAGAAGCAAAACGATAGAGACGTCACAGAAACGATTAAACGGTGTATAAAAAGTCTGACGAAAAGAAGCTCAGATTCATTCAATTTTTATCATTTGATGTGCCAGCATACATTTTATTATCTGTACCCAGTTATATAATCTGTACCTTTCCTAAACGCTCCTCCTAAACGACGTCTATCCTACAATACCTCCTATCCCCGACGGTGTCAACGTCTCGACGCTCAACTTCCTGCCATCCTACTCCCTACGTCTCGAACGCTGTCACATTCCTCACCATCTAAGTATTTCCTACCGTACACTCATTTCGACGCTCAACGTCCCACGCCTTATTTTCGACGCTTTGCCGTCCATAATTATTTCCTTCATAATATCACGTCCCGCACCACCTACTTAATTCTACCGTATATCTGTCCCAATACAGTACCGTATTAAATACCTTCTTTTCCATCACGACGCTAGACGTCTCGACGATGGACGCCTCGACGCCCAACCCTGCGACGTACCTACATCGACGCCTTCCACGACGCTAGATGAAATTAGTACATAATTTAATGTCTGTATTTTCAATGGTGAGTCAAAAGATTTATTTAACCTTCTTTGAGATACCACCCCGGTTTCGTTTAAGGGCGTCCTGACATTTGCTGTAAAATATTATCAATTTAACCAATAAACCACATGGCCTTCAGGTCATACACCCCGAAAGATAGGATAACATCTATTTTGGATGGGTGAAATTTGGAGTATTTTAATAGAAATAATAAAAATCAATATTAAGAAATATACAGGGTTATATTAAGTTATTTCAATAGAAATTATAATAATCAATATTAAGAAATATACAGGGTTATATTAAGTTGTTTCAATAGAAATTATAATAATCAATATTAAAATACATACAGGGTTGTATTAAGTCATATCAATAGAAATTATAAAGATCAATATTTTGGAAATATACAGGGTTGTGCTATCTTGGATAAATTGTACAAACCAAGATGGTAAAATTTAATAGTAAGTTAACCAACTGGCGAATACGCTGTTCGTTAGCTCAAGGGGGGACACCTATACGCTAAGCAACCCGTTCTACAAGGTTTGAAACAAAGTATATGTGAAATCAACATAGTAAGGTAATCAACTGGCGAATTGGCGCTGTTTGTTACTTCCGTTGGTCATCACCTCTATACTCATCGTAATATTTACCTAAGAGGGTGCAACCTGTATATATCTACAATAGAATCAAATCAACATCAACTCAATAGTTAATCAACTGGCGAATTGGCGCTGTTCGTTAACTTCATTGGTCATCAACCTAAATAAGAATAGTTAATCAACTGGCGAATTGGCGCTGTTCGTTAACTTCGTGGGTCATCAACCTAAATCAGAATATAAACAACAACACTATAGTTAATCAACTGGCGAATTGACGCTGTTTGTTAACTCTGTTGGTCATCAACCTAAATAGGATATATATTGATAGCAAATGAATATGGTCTGCGTTTGAACGGGACTCAAGTGAGATCTCAGTAAATAGTAACAATTGTAATATACTTTGCTAATTATTGCATCAAATTTAAGTATGTCAAAAATAAATAGAGTTTAAATATGAATTTGTATGTTTTATTTATCAATTTGCACCAAACTTTGCATCGAATTCTGGTTTACTTTAATTAACATTATCACAACGTGGGTACATAAAATATCAATTAATTAACTAGACGATCACTTCTACTACTAGAGGAAAAAGGCCAAATTACAGTAAGTATAGAATTTAAAGTAAAACTTGTGAGGTAAATAATAACATTTCAAAGAGAGTAAAGTAAAATACAAGAAGAACAAATCAAAAGAAGAGGGGGCCTGGGGCGGGGCCGTCACAATACCTATTTAGGTTTCCAAAAGATCCTCAAACTAGATATATGTGGATGAAGAGTTTGGGTATACGTGAGGATGAAGAGTGTATTCAGTAGAATTTGTTCAAGACATTTTGAGGATTATGCCTTTGCTAAGTCTCCAGGAGGAAAAATGTTTTTAATGAAAGGAGTAATGCCCTTATTTTACTCACATCCTGAAGTTGTTCCTCAACTGGAAACTATGTCACATTCTAAACCTTCTACATCTGAAACTAAGTGAGTA